TGTCGAACATCAGCACAAACATGAACAGAGATGCCATTTCCTGCATTTTGGTGTATTTTAACGGGTTGTTATACATCAACATTTACCTACATTTGTAAACACTTAATAAAATTACTATTTTGGAGAAGAACAGCAGGTTGTGTGACTAGAGCAGCTCCGAATCTGTCACGTGTCCGAAAACCCCTCCTCCCTCCCCTCACGTCACAGTTCTGAGCTGAACTCTTCTCTGATGAATTCAGTCCTCTTGCTCCAGTCTCGTGGCACCGTTTGAAGCACCTGAGGCTTCAATTCTCGGTTGTTGGACAATCCATCCATTCTTTTTTTATTAAAGTAAATTGGACTGTCTTTTTGACATTTTGATCGCTGTTGTTATTTTGACAAATCAGCGCCGTTGTTTAGAAACTTGACATATAATGTGAATAACAGATCAAACATTTCTATCTTTGTATTTTTAATTTAATTTTTACAGTAAGCTTTTTTTATTTATTATGTCTGAAATGTAGCAGGAGTTCAGACGCCTGCTGATGTTGTGCACATGTTGTGTAGAGCTGTCTGGAGACGTATTCTGTTGAATAAATTATTGTTTCTGTTTCAGGGGTCTGAGAGGAGGGGAGGGGGGTGTTTTTCAGTGCGCAGCCCCGCTGAGGAGGGACAATAGTCGGAGAGAAGGACTCCGCACAGAACCTCCATACATAAATGTGAATATCTGTCCCTCGGTCCTCACTCCCCCTCTGCCTAGAGGCTCCTCTCCTCCTCCCACTCAAAGGAGCGAGTAGCTGGCGTGTTGGCGTGCTGCGGCTGGAACATCCACTCCACAGACTGGGTCCGCTGGGCTAAAGGCAACGTCTCCTCTCGTTGTATTTTTAATAAATAATCAAAATAAAGAGTTGTTGGAACACAACGGGTCAAAATGAGAGTTCCCGGATCTTGTTCCAGCAGGATCCAGCTCAAAATAACCACTGCTTGCAGTTATTTATCTGTATTTGAACCAGTGATGTTACTAAACATGAACATCAA